GAGGCGAGGAGAGCTGATGGTCGACTAAGCGGTAGAAAGAATTGAAAAGTAAAGGTATATGAAAACACAAAACAATGATATTATTGTTGAGCTTACTTCCATTTCGAGTGAAAGTGTTAGGTGAATAGATTCGAAGGTCGGTTCCAGCAGAAGACGACGACCGATTCCTCTAAACCAGCTGTTGATTGGCTTTACTGGCAGAATCATGCTGACGCTGTTTCCGAGGTAATCTGCTTCGATTCCGCGAAAAGGTGCTAAGCTTTCGTCCGTTATATGACGAACATCATCAGAGCAAGGTATCATCATTACAACAGAATTCAAGCTAACTAATCAACAAAGCTCACTGGCAAATCTCAAAAGTAGTATATATACTCTACATCTGGCTTCTTTGATCAAGTATAAAATGATTTGGTTAGTTAAAGTCATATATCAACGTCGATGCATGTAAGTGTCAATCACTGTATGTGTATGTGCCTGTTTGTGTTCGCCTATGCACGAGGCCAAAAGTGATGGCTCAAAGTAATTAGGACAGCAAAAAGGAACGTCTGTTTTTGGTCATCAAGATTTGATGACCCCTATTTTCCCCTTTCTCCATTTAAGTTATTACCATCATTCCGATTGCGCAAGGTCGGAAAAAGGTCTGGTTTTATTGATGAGCATATTTTTTGTTTTTGGTCTCAATGCGAGAGAGAGAAAGTGAGCTAAAAGTACAGAGAAGTGACTATGATTAGAACCAAGACAAGAAAAGACTAGTTGCGTCGCCTTCATTTTGCAAGCGGCTCAACTCCCTCTCTATCCTTAAGTCTAATAATTGAGCACAAATAGTTTTTACTTATCTCCTTGCCAGTATTTCTTACATTCAATGTATTTCTTATTCGGTTTATTTATATGACTTCTTTAATTTTACGTTTAGCCGCAAACATAGCACAATCAGCAATACGACAAGTTTGAGACAATTCAATCTCGTGTCCCGTTTCTGCCCTGTGCTCAGCAAGCTCCGATTTTTGAATCCAACAGCCCTTGCAGGCGCTTTTGTGCTCAGCCGCCCTTTAACGAATGGGACCACATGAACACATTATCTTGTAGCAACCCGATCTCTCTAAAAGAGGGCATAACTGAAGAAAGTGTAGTAGTTTCCATGAAGATCCTTTATATTCCCCACTTCCTTACTTGTTAACCTATCCTTTTAGAGCGGATGCACGAAGGTAAAGACAAAACATGAGAAAAAGTCTCCTTATCTCTCCTTACTTATTTACCATTCAAAAAGCTATTCTTTATTAATTTAACGTTATTTTCAATCAAGCTTAGGGGATAGTTATTCTTAAGAAATATTATTTTAAGCCGATTCAGTTCATTTTCACATTAGTCTACATTGGCTAGTCTTATGCTCCGAATAATCATGGATTTAAAAACTCCAACCTTTGTTTTGTAACTATGATTGGAGAATAAGTTAGGTATAAAGCCAGCATGTATTGGCCTTCTATGAACATCCCTGCTTAACTACTCATCTGCTCTAATCACTAAGACCTCGAAAGAAAAGTAATGTATTGAAGTTGTTTTACCTTGTTTTCGCAACTCATCATATTGGTAGGAAAACTTATAAGGAATGCACCCTGTCCATAGTCCATTGTATGCATAATCATTTCCCAAGTCGGACCGTGTTCGTGGTACATTCCCAGACGTTTCGCCGGCATCGTCAGTGAGTTTTGCCATTCGTAGCACCACATTACAACTCGTCAAAGAGACAAGTGAAGCCGATCCATTGACCAAACGTGTGCTAAACAGTTGTGGTATCT